GTTGTCTAGAACTTACTTAACTAAATTAATTCTCTATCTATAATAATTTATAATAGAAACCTATAGAAATACTACTAGTAAGTTTTAAAACATTCTATATATTCTTCTATGCTTATTATAGTTATTGCCTTAAGCTAAATGTATTTAGATAGGCAGTCTATAATAACTATAAAGTACTATATATTCTTCTTTTTCTTAGCAGGTAAGTTTATTATAAAGTTAATAGAAATCTAGGTTTAATACTAATTGGCAATAGAAAGAAGTTATAGTAGTCTCTAATAAAGCTATTAGCTCTTATAGCTACTATAATAGTAGTAGTTATATATAAACTGCATAATATTTTTTGTTATTCTGTCCTAATAAAAGTCTCTATATAAGATATTAAATATAGTATTACATTCTAGGTAGCTAGATAGCAGCAATTTATATATGCGTTAGGTTAAGGCTATTATTAGGGGTTTCTACTTTAGCACTTATAACTAACCTTAATACTGTAGTTTTCTATATGCACTTATTATATAGTTAGATATTTATTTCTATATGTCTGCCTTTAGGGGAAACTTTCTTGCGCTATCTTATACTGCTTTAATGCAATACTAAAAGGTAGCATTCTAAGCTATCTCTATTTCCTAGAGACCTTAGAGCTACTTGTCTTAAAATGTATTATGCTAATTAGGTTCTAGCTTAGAGTTAGTATAGAGAGCTGCCTTTATAGTATTTACTAAGTATAATAATATGCCTACTGCTCTTAATAGTTAGATAATGCGCTTAAAACGTAGAGGTAGTAAATTCTTATCCTAGTTCTACTGCAATAAAGCATTAGGCCTTACTGCTTATAGACCTAGGCAGTATTACAGAAAGAAGTTAAATAATAATAGTATTTCTGCTTATTAAGCCTGCTGTTTTAATATCTCCCTTAGTGCTATAAAATACTTTAAGTTTTTGTAATCTATAAGTATTATAAACAGCCTAGCTATACTTTAGAGCTCTGCTAACTATACCTTTAAACAAGCAACTATAGCTAGCAATTTCTTATTATAGATTATATAGTTGCGTTCTGCTGCCTAGAGTTATATAGAGTAGTAAGCTACTAAGTAGAGAATGCTATAAGTATACTAAGACAAGTAGCTACTAATAGCATCTTCTAAGCAGTCTATTTCTACTACTATATTTTTATTGGGATTCTACTAGTAGAGCACTAAGTATATTATAAAGGCAGTCTTTAGCTTTTAGAAGGCTTTATTCTCCTAGGAAGTCTAACAAAAAAGAACTCCCTTCTTTATTAATTCTAGCAGCAGTCTAACTAGCTGGGAAAACTCTAGAATAAACTTGCAATAGAAGTTCGCAAAGCCTATAAATCTATAGACGCCTTAGATTTATATTAAGAGCTCCTAGTCGCAGATTACAGCTACCTTCTCTAGGTTAAGTTGCACCTCTTTTTCTATATATACTATAAACCTAAGGTACTTTACCTTAGTTACTATAAATATATATTTCTTTATATTAAGGTTTAACTCTACTATTCTAAGCTATATTAAAATTTCATAGACTTTTTGCTAATAATTCTTTCTTAAACTACTAAAGTATATTAGTATATTATCTAGATAAGTAGTAATAAAGTTGCCTAGCGCTAAGCTTAAAGCGCTATTAATATATTGCTAGAATGTAGCTAGTGCTCTAGCCAGCCTAAATAAGTATATAAGCTACTTAAACAGCC